TCAATAATACAAAATATATATTTAACATTTTAAATTTTTTAATAAAATATAAAGTATATTGAGCACATTATTTGATGCAATGAATTAAAATACTATTCTAACTACCTCTGACCACAATGACTTATATAAAACACAATAATGTATATTAGTAAAATATAAAAAACTAAATAACTTGTATAAAACACAATAATATAAATTAGGAAAATATAAAAAAGCATATATAATCACTAATAAGAATCAAAAGAATGAAAGATTATGTATCATTCTATTATCATGAATATTGTGAGAATAGACATGGTATATATATAAGAGAGAATCCCCCTAATTAAGATATCAATCATTCTCCAAATTTCTTCTACGCTTACTCTTACTAACTTGATCGTCATAGTTTTTATGAACAATCAATTTTCATCATCATTTCCTAATAAAACAAAGAAGGATCATCATTCTATTGAGAGTCAATTATATGTGACATGCACACCATTATACTTGTGAAGAACAAATATAATGAGAAAGGATTGTGGAAGACTATTAAAATCTTTAATTTCTTCTTTTCCAACTGCACTTGTTTCTTAAATTTAAATTGATGTGCGAAGGTGACTAACTTTATGACATAGAGCCATTTGCCATAAATGAGGTAGAATTTTATTTGTTCCTTAGAATTTGTTCTTAAATTTTTTATTTACTTTAATTCTTATGAACCCTCTCTAGGAAGACTTAGCAATTGTTTTGATCTAGAACAAATTCAAACTTCTTTTTTCATCATAAATGAGGTATAATTTTATTGGGTAACACTACTCCATTTGTAATTATAAAACATTTTCAACTAAATTATATCCTTTAAGAAAATTAGTTAATATAGTTAAGAGTATTAAATTTGTCAATAATTTAAACTATTTTTCCAAAATTACTGATAACATATCTTAAAGTAACCTTGTTTTTTCTCACTTAATCATTTTCTACCTAATTAACTGATGTATTAAAGAGAGAGACATGTATTTGTCTATTTATCTTCTTCAATCCTAATAAGAAAGAGAAAGTTTTTATTCAATTAATTTCAAGTATTTATTACCTTTTGTTAAGGGCTGGAAATGTGTTGAGCTAAGTTGAGTTTGGTTCAACTCAGTTTGACTCGATAATATTTCACTCAACTTGCAGCCCAACTTGAGTTTGACATAAACTTTTGTTTTTTTCAGCTCAAACTTGACTCAGTTTAAGCTTGATAGCAATTTGGTTCAACTTGTTAGCTTGAATCACATAAACCAAAAGTCAATTTTTCTTTGAATCTTATACATTTCAAAATTTCAATTTTGATGGAAGTACTTGAAGAGGTGATTGATGTTCCTCTTCAAGCTCCACCTTCAAGTCCCAATCTAGCTCTTGAGGTCTTCATTGGTGACTTTGATGAAGCAAACACAAGCTTCAAAGCTTGTAGAACCAACTTGAGGAGGTTCGGTTTCTTCCTTGAAGAGGAAGAAACTTGAGAAACCAAAGAAGAATGGTGGAAACCCTTTATTGAGAAACTTAGGGGAGAAGCTTCTTCTCCACGAATTTGTGACTCTTGAATGAGAGAATTTTAGTGAAAAATTCTGATTTCATATACTCAAAAGTGAGGAAAAATGAAAGGTTTACAAATTTATAGAAGTAGGTAGCTTATGGAGCAAGCTAACCTTAACCATGGTTCAAGAGAACCATGGTTTGGTTGCTTAACCAACCTCCCTAGTTAGGATGGCTTGTGGAGCAAGCTTCTACCTTAGCTTGCTTTCCAAGCAAGCTAAGTTAGAAGCTTGTAGCACAAGCTTCCTAAGGCTTCAAGAGAAGAGAAGCAATTCCGGCCAACAAGAAGGCTAGGCGGCCTTGGCTTGTTTTTGCTCACTTTAATTATTTCAAAATTTGTTGATTTGGTTTAGTTAGGTTCATCCAATGATGGTGAGACCTAGCTAAATCAAATCCTTGAAAAATTAGAAGCAAAACAAGTCCAATATGTAAAATTTGGCCTAGGCCCAATTTTGGCCCAATTACTAGTCACACCCTTAAGCATTACTAATTGCCACCCCACTTCTACTACTGAAAAAATAGAAAAAGAGTGACCTTCAATACAAGGTTAAATGGAGTCAAAGTCTCCAAGTAACCTACCCTAGAAACAATATACAATGGTCTATAAAATGAAATAAAGTACCTCACAAATACAAAGGCAAAAATAAGCCTATATAAGAAACTACTATATTTACAAACATAGAAAAAGGTCTTCAAAATCATCCCATTCCTCATGGTTCCTTTAATGTATCACCTCTTGGATTCCTTGGCCTTGGCATATTTCCATCAAATTTAATAACAAATTTAAGATAAAATAATTGTTTAATTTCTTTTAAAGAAAAAATGTAACTTATTCTATTAGTTTTGCAAGGTTACAAGATATGATTCCAAAGAAACATAATTACAACCAAAGTCTGTATAAATAAAAATTACTCCACCTTGCATAAAATAATGAAAATCACAATCCATAACTATGAAATTCTAACTTATAACTAAGTTTTTAAGGATTTATAAAAAAATTGTAATAAGTTGAAGTTGAATAGAAAATTCATTAATTAAATTATATATTTATATGTCGAGTCGATTCATGAACCAAACTATATACAACTCAAGTTTAACTTATTTATTTATAAAACTTAATCTTTAACTCAAATTTAGCTTATTTGGCTCATGAACCAAACTGATGGAAAACCTTCAAGAGTAACCGAATATCTTTGGCTTCCCCTTCAAGTTCATCCCTAGACCTTTCAAGCTTCTTCAAGGTCTCTAATGGAGGTAGAGACCTCTGGTTTCACCTTTGGAAGATGAAGAACTCTCTTCAAGTGGTGCCACTTCTAGATAGAAGATAAACCACTTCAATCTTCACCACACTTTTAAGAAAAGGATAAGAGAATTGAAACCAAATCAAAGAGAATTTAGGACTTTTGAGAGAGAGAATTTAGAAGAAAACTCGACAATTCTCATATAATCATCAAAAGTGAGTTTTACAAGTAAAACAACCTATATATAGTGGTGGAGCAGCTTGTAGTGCAAGTGAGACAAGGTAGGGACACTTAGATCTAGATTAGCCAATCATAGAGTGTCAAGTGTCACTTTCTCTTCTAGGAGACAAGGAGGAGACACTTAGATCTAGAAGAGCCAATCATGGAGTGCCAAGTATCACTTTGTCTCCTTGGCTAACCAAGAGACAAGTGTGTGGAGAAGCTTCACAAAAACTCGACCAAAAGATGAGAATGGTGGCCTAGGCTTGTTTTCCTTCACCTAATCCAATCCAAAATATTGGAATTGGTTTAGTTAGGTTCACCAAATGATGCTGAGGCCTAGCTAAATCAATTCCTTGGATTAAATGGAGTAAACAACCCTAATATGTAAAATTTAGCCTAGGCCCACTAAGAGTCCATTTGCTAGCTTCACCTACACTCTTACTATTTGCTACCTGACTATTAATACTAAAAACATGAAAATCTATGATCCTTAATACAAGGTCAAATGGAGCAAAAGTCTCCAAGTAACATACCTTGAAGTCCTAAGGGAATAACCTACAAAGAAAGATAAAGGTGTCTCACAAATATAAAGGTAAAAATAAATCTATATAAGTATCTACTATATACAAAGTACTATACAAGGTATGTACAAATAGAGACTAAAGAACTAATAAGAAAAATCATATTCACTGCTCATAGAGAGCATAGGTCTAAAAAGTATCTCTTCTATAGAAACTTCCTCTAGCCTATATATAAGCTCTCTGTGAATGGTCCTTCATCACAAATTCAACAAATTAATTATCGAATCGAATTACAAACTATTTTCAAATTAGTTTACTTCATTTTTATCCCTACTTTTGTCTAAAAGAACTATTAAATAAATAAGATTATTTTATAAAAAAAATATATAAGTAATATAATTAACAATTAGAAGAAAGTCTTATAAAAAGAACAAAAACAAAGGTAATATTCTCGATCAACTCAATAATTTTAGATTAAAAATATGAACAACAAAAAAATGAGCAAGCTGAGAAAATATTAAATTATAAAAAAAAAATTAAAACGTAAAATACACTTAAAAAAATAAGGTCTTATTAAACTAGTCAAGTCATCTATTCGACTCAATTATACATAATCTATATTTAATATTTCAAATTCTTTTTATAAAATATAAACAATACTGATCAGTGATCACATTATTTGATGCGATGAATAATTGAAGAAGTCGATCTTAAAAAGGAGAAAGGTAGCAAGTCCTTTGTCATTTTGACTTTGTTGTAACTTGTGAGAATGTTTCTTCAATCTACTTTACTTTACCTCATGGAATGAAAATATTAAAAGAAACAGAATAATCGTATCATAGTATTTTTGGAAAGCTACGTTACGCCGAAAACAGAGCACAAGACAAACCGCCGAAACAAGTGTCTATGCCGTGCCACGCAAATCGCAATTGCGGATTCAAATTCCCGCCACAACTGTCTCCGATAAATATTGCTGTAAATCTAATACATTTTCTATTAAAATTCATCATTAATATTAAACATTATCTACATTTTTATAAACACAAGTTATATGCACGTGCTTTTAGTTTTTTTTTTTTTAATTAGAATTAAAGTTCTATTTCCTTAACCTATACTTACATATATGCATGATTGTTGTGTATTGCATATGATGATTAAAGAAGAAAGATATTTCTAAATTATCTTTATTAGGTCAGATCAAGGGAAGAGATTTTAACCATCTTTCAACACCAATATTTCGATCATAAATCATTTGATTTTATATAAAATTTTATTTTCTTAATCTATACTCACAGAAAAAGGAAAATTTTCATTTAATTAAACTCTTTTAGCATGGTGCCTCTTAACCTTGTTATAAAACAAAGAAATTGATAACTACTAAGATCAACCTTTTAATAGAAGTTTGAAGTAATATACATCAAATTTTAAGTTTCTAATCTCAGGACCATTAAACAAAAAATAAAGAAATTGCGACATATATAGATACAAACAAAATTTCAGCTTTTACAAACATTCTTGTTCTTGTGTATATCAAACCCATGATTCATCTCATTCGAATATTTTAGAAACAGAAAACACATAAACAATGATTTAAGTGCTAAGCAAAATTTGGTATTTATATATAATTGTTGGGTTTACAGGGCAGAATCTTGAGGTGGAAGTTGAGTGAAGTGAGGGCTTTGAAGGGCCTCTTGGAGAAGGTCATGATCGTCCCACGAATCTCGATATGTCTCCAAGTTGACATCACTGTTAATTATGGCTGATAAGCATAGCTGTTTCCTCCATTCTTCTATATGTGGGAACCCTACATTCTCCCCATATTTGTCACAGTACTGCAATACAACAATAACCAAATCATCTCTTTATTTATTTAAATTAAGATAAATTAAGTAGTAGTTAGTACAAGAAATGTTTACATAAACACATATTAAAAATGTCTTTTTTAACAATAAAAGCTAAAACAAAACAAATGGACCCTTAATCATGGCTAAAAAAAATCTCATTTCAATTTCTAAGTTAAAAAAATAAAATCACTTTTTTTTTTCACTTTATTTGTCATCCTCATTTTGCACCCAGAAAATAAGAAGGATCAAAGTGAATATTTTAACAAGCAAGTGTGGCTACACCGAGAGTTTTCTAAAATAACAAAATTAAATGTGTGTTTAGATGCAATAAATTGTTACATGATCAAGACCACTGTGGTCTTGTTCAATCTTTTTCTCGTAAACACAAAGTCAAAGTTGTATGTTGTGTAAAGATTAGTCAAAACCATTCACACATGATCAGAACTATGTAATGATAATTTCTCGATTTGATACGTGAAAGATCCACAAGTTTTAGAGATTTTCATGTCACATAAAAAAATGCACAGAAGCCACTATTCGTATAGTAGCTTCTGCCTACACGTAATCAAGTTGTGCCTAACGTAGAATGAGGTTTACTTTCATGTTCATATATATATAGTAAAAAACTTAAAACCAAAGTGAATATATTTTTTTTCTTTACCTCAAAGTCTGCAATTTCATGAGTACAGTGTTTGGGAATGCCTGCTGCATCTCTTGAATGGTAGAACTCCTTGATGGATTTCATCATTTCCTCCCATGATGGCAATACTTTTTTCCCTGAAAGCAGTTGAGCTATCCATATTGCTTGGGACTCAAAGAAAGGGAATCCTATGATCTGTAATGTAAGCACACACATATAATGCACTCTCATCGACCAAGATCAATTCTATTGTTAAATATATATTAGAATCACACATTCATCGTGTTTGAATCAACAAATTTAATTGATACAAGAACTATTTATTATTTCTGTTAAATATAGAGAACATGTCTGGAATACAACGTCATAAAACCAAATTTATAATAAAAAGTTATGTTAATAGGTTTAATTGATACAGAAACTACTCTTTTGTTACTTACTTCTGTTAAACATGAAGAAAAAGTGTGATTTACGTGTTTCTAAACATGGAAAAAAATACACATTGTCATTACAACTAACTAAAAGTGGGTGTGTGAAAACATGTGACATAAAACGAATTGAATTCAGTGATTTTGGGGTAGTTTACCTTTCTAGGGATGCCTATAAAAGAGAGGGATGGAGCAAGGGATGGCGGAAAAGTGTGCTCATACAAAGGCCCCACTCTGTCATCATCTATAACCACCATTCCTTTGGTGTCAAGAAAGGGGAATGCATAGGAGTACCTACATATAACCAATTGATTTTGGAAACCCATCAATCATTAGAAAACACAACACTAATTAAATCTAAAAGGAAACATCTTGACATGTTTGGACACAGGCCCCACGGTGAAATCTCCAAGAGCCCAAGACCATAATTATTATTCAATCATGATACTATCTTTTGGAACTTAAGTTAGTGAAATTAATGAAATTTATAATATGGGTAATTTGCTCTTGGATTAACTGTACCATTCACGATAATTATAATAGATAATAGATGTCACATATAGGTGTTTGTTTAATCAATATTTTTGGACGTTACCCTGTGCAGTACAAAATAGAGTCTGCAAGAATGGAAGAACCATCCACGAATGTGACCCTCCCATCCTCTTGAAGGGTGTCTATCTGCACAAGGTACCACATGTTATTAAGTTAGCAAAGTTGGTAAACAAACTAAAAAGTCTTTATAAATATAAATTTAGAAGTGTTTTTGAGATTCTTTTTAAAAAAATAAAGAACTTTTTGTTTTAAAGAAGCATTAAAAACACTTACAAGCTATAACAGACTCTAAAGTATAGTATATTTTGTTTTACTTCTGATTAATTAGAACTTGGAGTGATATATACCTGTGGATGAAGATGAAAGTTCTCATGTTTTGATATGACTTTAGATAAACCCTCAGAGATTTTAAGAGATCTGGAACTCATGTGGACCTCCTTTGCCACCTCCACAAGCTCTATTGATATGTCTTGCCCACTTAAGGAATTTCCAACCACCACCACAATCTGTTAAATGAAGATTTGCCTCTATCGTGTTTAAGAGTGCTTATTTAAAATTTAAAATACAATGGCTACATAACAAAGTTTTATCTTACTAAGTAAACATAATCACATGACATCTAAACAATATTTCTTACTTTTAAGCTAATGCACATGTGCCTGTTTCTCTGCCTTTTACTGAACTTATATGGCCTTTTATTATATGCAAAATTCATGTCATAACAAAAATTGTAATTTCTAGTAAATTTTAGTCAATGAAAAAAGTGTTAGAAAGTGTGACACTAGCACTTCTGTTCATGTACCTCGTTGCGGAATGGTTCTGGAGTCCTGTAAATGTGACTATGCATTTGTTTCCTTTTCCATGTATCCATTCCTGAGCATCAACAACACAAACAAAACAACTTTATGCATACACATCCAATGATGAGAACATTGAAGGTGTTAGAGATAGCGATCAAGAGATATTACTTTAGTTACCTTTAATGGATGATGGCAATCTTGGTTGAGAGTAATGACCAGTGGCCACAACCACTGCATCAAACACCTCTTCCACCACCTTCTCACTCTTCTTATCCATGCTTCTAACAACCCACTTCAAATCATTAGCACAAACACCATAATCCAACATCCCCACATGGTCCACCCTCGTGTTGAACCTGATCATCTCCCTCAAGCCAAAGCAGTCACAAAAGTCCTTCAAGTAGAGAAGCAGCTCAGTGTGGCTAGGGAACCTCCTCATGTCTCTACCCTTCTTGACCAAAAAGGGAAAATCAGAGAACCCCATGATCTCACGTGGAGATGTGAGCCTCAAGGACTCGTACATGCTACTATGCACCTTTAGAAAGTGGTTTCTCCCCAAAGGGTCCTCACCTTCCACGTTGGCCTCATATAGCCACTGGCCTCCAACATCATGATTCTGCTCCAACACGACCACCTCATGACCCTCTTTCCTTAATTCCCTCGCTGCCACTAGCCCCGATGGTCCAGCTCCAATCACGCACACGTTCTTGGATCGACATTGGCTTGTCTCAGAAACCATGTTGGTTATTGGTAATAGTAGGTGGTGAGAATATGAGAATGAGAATGAGAATGAGAATGCAAAAGCTATAGCTAGCAAGGTGGTATGTGGGGAAATGTGTTGGTGCTAATGGGGGGCTTTTATGGTTGAATATGTTTCACGTAGGCATAGGGAAACCATGATTTGTGGGATAGCGATGGTTTGCTGACTGGGAGACACACGTGATCATGTAAAATCAATGCTTTGAAATATGTCTACTTTCAGGTTTGGACTTCAATAGTAACACCTCCACTCTTTTACCTTTACGTTCAATACTTCATTACCTCCAACACTCTTCCATATTTACCAATCTAGAAAGGATAGTACGCCATTCTTCAAGTTTAATTAATAATTTTAATAGTTTGAGATTCATGTACTTAAATTTGTAGTTTAGAGCTTGAAACGATAAATTAAACAGTGATACCAACAAGTCTCAGGCTTGAGGAGTGTTGTTCTCCTTAAATAAAGTTTGGAATTCAAATTTTATATACAAAATAACAAGTAGTTGATAATATATATATATATATGTCATTGATCAAGATTTTGTTGCAAATATGTTATATGTATTAAAAAAATTACTAAATTAGTAATATCTTTAACTTAAGTTTTTTAATGTGTTGAATTTTTTAGTTTAAGGGTCTGTTTGTTTTAGCTTTTTTTTCCTTATAAAAATGCTTCTTTCTTTAATAAAATAAATACTTTTTTTATTATTTTTGATATGTTTGTCTAAATTTTTTTTTAAGAAAAATAAATAGTTTTCTTTAAGCAACTTCTAAGTTCTACCTATTTCTTAAATAATTATTTTTTAAAAAGTACTACAAAAATTTATTTTTAAGTTTAAAAAAGGACCCTAAATATATATATGGGACTCAATAAAAAAAATACCCTCTTTCTTTTATTATTAAGAGTCATTTATATGTTTTCTTGAGATGCCGAGTTCATTGAAAAGAAAATATCAAAGAGAATTTTGTCAGAATATCTGACTGTCAAATATCAAAGCAATTGATAAAAGTTGAAGTTATAGCCCTTATTGGTGTTCACTGCTTTACTTTTTCTCTTTTCCTTTTTTATGAAGAAGTTTCTGTGGTCTTCCCTGCATGCATGTAATTGGTGCCACATATGATGATGGCCTTTCGTTCACACGACCTGAGAAATTCATAGCACTAGAAGATTTTACACATTTTTCCAAATCACCATTTATATTTCATTTCCATAAATTAGCTTCGGTTTTCTGTTCCTAAACTATATGTACATTAACCCGAAGTGTGTGATTCAGCGGTACGGGTTGATCCACGTTTAAGCAAGGTCAGGGATTCAAATTCTGCCTTGTGTATGCAGTCGCGTTAAATCTTGGGGTCAGTTATCCTACCCTTTGAGGTGTTTCCAACGTAGCTAGGAGATTAGTCACTGTTATTGGCAGGATACTCCAGGTAGGAACTAAAAAAAAAAAAAACTACATGTACATCAAACTTTGGACGAGAGTCAGCGTGATATCAGGACAAGATTGTGGGCACATATTGTGTATGGAACGTGATTTGCTTTTCTTTTCTTGTTTTTTTTTTGGAGCAAAGTTTATTGAATGGTCTTTTTTAAGTTCATTTTTTTTTTTCATTATTTATGTGGACTGATTGTATATTTTGTCATTTTAGTATTTTTATTTTATTTCATTTTTAAAAATTATCAAACTAAATAAAGTATAGAATAAAATGTACTAAAAAAGCTAATGGAGAAAATAGACGTAAAAAAGTGTTAAGATGCAATAGAATGGATGATAAATTAAAGCATTTTTGAATTGCAATTGGTTCATGTGCTTAGTGCGCTACAATGGGGACACAAGCCTGTGGACAAGATCAAACAAGACCTAAACACAAAGGCTTTCAACTTTTAAGCCTATGGTCTATGAATTGGAGCCCCACAATCACACTACTAGGCATGCCTCACCTTGAAGCGAAGGAAACATGAATAATACTATAATATAATCATCAAACAGTGAATTTATGAATGAATATATACCACTGTTTGTTTCATTAAAGAGAAAATAAGTAATATAAATATAATGAAAAGCAGCTTCAAATGTTTATTACTTCTTTTTCAAATACCATACATGTAATATTGCTTTGAGTAGGTTGTAAGTTATACTTGTTTTTCATCTCTGTTGTCTTTGGGTGAAGTTAAAGTATAACCGTCCAATTTTATTAATATTTATATTTTCTTTTTTGTATTTAGGGAAAATGATAGGTTGCTAACAATAATCCATACAAAATATTAATTAATTAGCCCACACGTTTCATGCATGGGAAACTTTCAAGACAAATCACATGATTGATCAAGAATCAATGTAATCATTTCAAGGAAATAATTAATTGAGCATATCTGATGTTTTGCTGTGCTATACTATTTCTCTTTCTGTGTTTGATGTTGCATGACTTACAATTTGCACTTACATTGAACAAGTTAGGTATGCATGCTATAATTGTGTGATTACGTAATGGCCCAACATTGTCTTAACAAACAAATTAATTAAATTAAAGCTAATGATTCTTGCTATGAATTTTGTGGCCGATTAATTTATGTTATTTAAACTTTACACCTAAAGTTTAAATTTTTTTTATTAGTACGATATAACATAAATTTATTAAAATATTGATATCAATATTAATTCTCTGTTGTCTTTTTCTTTTTTGAATAGTAGTATTTTAGCTAGTGAATTCACTCTTTAATTACCAGAATATTAGTGTTCCTGTGTTAGGATACACACTTCAATTATCCTTGCTGTAGCGGGTCAGATCCTGAGTCTCGATTTTCTCGTTTCTATCCAAGTAGTCCAATGTGAGGGAGGTGTGCCTGCAAAGACACTCCAACGCTCAAGTAAGTACTCGGTGTAATAAATGCAGTAGTTGAAAGTTAGCTACATACCTCGTTAGGGTCCTATTTATAGTGGTTCTTATTGGGCCGTGATTAAGGATTGGGCCCCGGGAAATTAGGGGATTAATCCGGTGCATTACGTAAATTAACCTCTCCGTAATCATCTTGGCGTAAATGCGGGGCTTGGCCGAGCACACTGACACGTCTTGTTCATCTTGTGAGTGGTCGGTGGGCTCGGGTATTCGGTCTGATCTTTCACGCTTTCGGGTATTCGGCCAAGTCGGCCATGGACTCAGGCATTTGGCCTAGTCGATACAACCCCCGCAGCGTCGAGGATGCAAAAGACGAAGACGGTTAAAATATTCAGGACTGTGGTTGTCATTGTACTTGGACGTTACAGTTATGGTCGTCAGCTATTAATGATAGTGGACGAGATCTAACAGTAAAGGCTGGGTCAGTAGGGCCGATTTTTAATGTTATGGCGAGGCCTCAAACTAACGAAGCCTATACCGAGACCATACCTGGACGGATCCTAGGTTGAGACCTAGGCTGGATGAACCGGGGCCTTAGGCGGATGAAGTATAGACCGAATACTCGCGCGGTTGGAGCTTACACCGAGACCTCGGTGGGCATGGACTGATGAAGCCTATGTCGAGAACTCAAACGGAAGAAACCCAGACTGAGACCTCGACTGGACGAATCCTGGGTCGAGACCTTGGCTAGATGAGACATATGTCGAGGCCTTAAACGGATGGAGTCTTTGCCGAGACCTCGCCGGTTGGAGCCTACGCCGAGATCTCGGTGGGCATGGACTGATGAAGCCTATGCCGAGAACTCAAACGGAAGGAACCCAAACTGGGACCTCAACTGGACGAATCCTGGGTCGAGACCTTGGCTGGATGAGACATATTTCGAGGCCTTAAACGGATGGAGTCTTTGCCAAGACCTCGCGCGGTTGGAGCCTACGTCGAGACATTGGTGGGTACGGACTGCCATGTTGGCCCTAGCGGTTACAGGCCTGACGGTTACTAAATCTGGACCGTTGGATGATCCAAATCGAACGGTTGTGGTTTCGGGACGTCTTTTCACCTCCCCCATTTACCTTGCCTATAAATAGGAGGGGGGCTACTTGGAAATTTACTTGCTGTAAATTTCCCGAGCGCTCTCGAAACCAGATTCGACCGAGCAAACCGATCAAAGGTAAATTTTGTATTCTTTATTCTTGGTAATAAATGGATAGGAGTCATTCCTCAGCCAGGAGCTGGACGTCCTCGGAGGTGTCGGGTGTCGCGTCTGATGGAGAGGGGTCGGGTTCGAGTGAGATTTCAAGGTTTCCTCCGCTACAATGTGAAGTGGTGTTCCCCTCCGACATTGCCGAGCAGGAGGATAGCGGGGACAAAGTGGTCGAGGTATCGCCCTCGGTGACTCTGGCTATGGCTTTGGCACAAGCCACCGAGGTGGATGCTAGAGGTTTAAGCTGAGTCGGTCAGCCGAGCTTGCATGCCGAGGCCATTCAGGTTGGAGCAAGTGGAGACGGCTTGGAGGTACTTGGCGATCGCGAGGCAAGGGCGTGGTCGGTCCAAGCAATCGGCCGAAGACGAAGATTGATTACGGGACAGTAGATGCCTGGGTATGAATGGGTAGACGGAGAGGTCGACATTTATTTTTCAAAGTTATCCGATCAAGGATTATTAGACACGTTTGTGTCTTTGGAAATGTGTTTTGCGAGTGGGGAGGACGAGTTTCCTTTACTCGTCGAAGCCTGTGCGGATGATGGGTCGGATACTGATTTCGTATTTTTGGAGCCGGGGCCCGACGAAGACGACCACTTTTATGCTTACATGTGTTGGTTCGAAGATCTCGGCATACAGTTGCCCTTCGACGATTTTCAAATGGGAGTCCTCCGAACACTCAACGTGGCGTCGACCCAACTGCATCCGAACACTTGGGCCGCGATGCAGGCATTCCGGAACCTATGTTTGTGCTTAGGTCTAACTCCCCGACCACTAGCCTTCCTTTATTATTACATATGTCGCCCGAGTAAGCCGGTGAAATGGGTGTCATTGGCTCGAGTGCCGAAGCGAGGATTTCTCCGAGCGTTCACATCCTCCTACAAAGGGTTTAAGAGCGGCTTTTTCAAGGTCCGTTGGGGGCCGGAGTTGAAGAATTGCTTTTATGACCGAGATGGATCTCCATTGTTCCCTTTTTATTGGACGAGGTGCCCGA